CCGAGGCCGGAGAGGACCCCAGTCAGTCTCCACTCCCGGCCTCAGTCGTCTCTGCCCCTCTCCTCCCTCTGCTCGGCGCTGTCTTCTCTCTCTTCCGTCTCGGCCCACCCCTCCTCTGCCTCGGCCTCTGCAAACGGTCTCCGGCCGGCCGGCCCTGGCCTGGGTCCGGCCGAGGTCTGGGGCCCGGGGCCCGCACGTGCTGTAGACCTTCAGGAGCTGCTTCTGTATTTTACAAAACATGGCACCTAGCAGCTGGCGCCCTGGGCGGCTGGCGTGGCTCCTGACCCCGGGCCTCTTCCGTTGTCAAAGGCCCCGAGCCCAACTCTGCTTTGGCCGGCCGGCCTGGAGCCCTCCAGGACTCCACATTGGGAGGATTTCCCCTTGAACCCGCGCAGGGCTCAGCAGCCGGACCACAGATGCTGGCTGCCATGGAGCAAGGAGGGAAAGGTTTATCTTAGCCCATTTTCACGCAGCTTATGACTGGGGTTCTTGGTGGGGGGGTGGGGGGGCAGGGCTGACTGAGTCACCAGCCTGGACTTGAACTCTGGTCTCCTAACTTCCTGAGTACTAGGATTACAGCCTGGCTCCCAGTCCAGGTTCCTTCCGGTGGTTTGGGATGGAGATATATAAAAGTAAACACAGTGTAGGAAAAAATACTTTGTAAACTTGATGCTATGGAGAGCCCCTGGGTTCCACTTACAAGGTTTCGGTGGGACTGTGATTAAAGCGTTCACCAGGTAGAACTCAGTCAGTGCTGGTGTGTGTGGAGGAGTGAAGATGATGGACTGCTCCCCCCTGGGGGGAAGTTAGTAGGAACTAAGGGAGAAACAGAAATGTGGAGAGAGAGGTCCTGAGGCCGGCAGACCAGTAGGTTCCTTGCAGAGAACTACAAGCAGTATTTCAAAGTTTTTGTTTGTTTGGGGACCTTTTTGGGAGAGGGGGTAAAACTTTAGTATTTTGTTTCTGTGGCCTCCAGCATTCAGAGAGACCTTGGGACTGCTTCCTACCCTGTGACTTCATTGGTTTCCAGGGCCCAGGGACTCCGCAGTGAAAAGCCAGGATCCCCATCGGGGAAAGATCTTGGACAGGGAAGGACAGAACTCTGCTGAGATGCTGATGTTCCAAAGGCAGGCCAGGCACCCCTTAGAAGGCAAAGTAAGACCCCGAGGAGGAGTCTAAAGCTTGAGAGTGGACTGCTCAAGGCCTGGCAACGGGAGGGGGAAACTCTGAGAAGATGTGAGGAAGGCCAGGCCAGGGCACTGAGAAGGAGCGTAGAAATAACCCTGGCTGCGGCTCCTCACTTAACACTTGGAGCCTTCTAGGGAGACCTGGATTAGGTGCTGCCAGGAAGGGAGAGAAAAGCCAAATGCCTGAACGGCTGAGACTTACCCAAAGTTCTAGAACCCAGTGAGCTCAGAAAACTGAAAGAGGGTGTGTGTGTGTGTGTGTTTAAGCCAGACTTGGTAGTGAGCTCTGCCCCACGAGAGGCTATTTTTAGTCTTTCTTTATCCCTATTACTTCAAATATTCATACATTTCCCAGCCCTGAATTTGGGTAAGAGCTGCTACTCTGGGCAGTCCTAGGCCATGTGATGTGTGCTTCCTCTTGGTTATACCTCCTCTGTGTGTGTGCACACATGTGTGTTCACATGTGTGTGAGCACATGTCTGCACCAGTTCTCTGGCCTGAAATTAGGGCCTGGGTATGTCTTAGCTGTTTTGCTCAAGGTTGGCACTCTATTTGAGGCCACAGCTCCACCTTCTTGCTTTTGGGTGGTTAATGGAGGTAAGAGCCACAGACTTTTCTGCCTGGACTGGCTTTGAACTTCAGTCCTCAGATTTCGGCCTCTTGAGTAGCTATGATTGAAGGGAAGGTGTTGAGCCACCAGCACCTGGCTTCCTCTTACCTCTTTAAGACTGAAAATATTGAGTCCTGGAACATAATTGGTCCCAGATTTCCAGGAAGAAACTGTGACCTGTAGGAGGTCTATAAAAAAAAAGGCACTAGTAGCAATAAGTGTGTTAAAGAGGAAGGTAGAATGCAGTGAATGCTCAGAGTGTTGATTGGTGGTTGGGAGGGAGGTCTGGTGGTTCTGTGCCAGGGCACAGAGGAGGAGCCTGCCACCACCCTGGGTAATGGTTAGGTGTGCAGCTGTGACAAGCAGTGAACATTGCAGACCGGCTTGTGTGTGTCACTAGCTCCTAGGATAGAGGCCTGGAGATCTCCGGCGAGCAGAAGGGAGGGCCTAGGGCTGCAGAGCTGTGAACAGACACTAGAGGAAAACACATATGGTGAGCTCTGCCCCACTTAGCAAACTTGGGGTTGGATATGGTGGTGCACGTCTGTAATCCCAGCACTGGGGATGCTAAGACAGGAGGATGGAGAGTTCAGTGCCACACTGAGCACTGAGATATTGTCTCAAAAACAAAAGAACAAGCAAACAAAAGCAAAGGCCAGGGTTGTGCTCAGGGCTGGAGTACTTGCCTAGTATCTGTAACATACAGGATGCTTGATTCCATCTCCTATAGCTCTCATATAATACACACCCACACCATACCACACCCACACCACACACACACTATACACACACCACACCATCCCACACATACGTACCCATACAATACCACACAAATACCATATCACACACCATACTATACACATACCACACCATACCCTTACAATACCACATACACCATACCATACAAACACCATCACACACACACACACATATCACACACACCATACTATACACACACCATACTATACACACACCACACCATATCACACACACACCACACTATACACACAGCACACCATATCACACACACCATACAATGCACATACCATACATACATCATACACATACAATACCACACCTACACCATATCACACCTACACCATACCACACATACACATACAAAACCACACATACACCATACCAAACACACATACACACACACAGATTGGAGCAGATGTCTGGCTGTTTCCACACGTCCCAGCTGACGCTAGCCTGCCCAGGAACTGAGGCAGAGGATGATACCAGAGTGCTAAACTCCATTTTCTTCACTTCCGGCACCACCCTGTGTGTGACCAGGTTATGTCATCTCTGGTCTCTTTCCACATGCTGAGTGCTGGTCCTACCCCGGGCTGAGAGCTTCTGCCATGCTGCGCCCATTCTCAGGCTGAGGACTTTTCTACTGTAATTAAGAATATCAAGCTGGACACCTGTGGCTCACACCTGTAATCCTAACTACTCCGGGCTGAGATCAGAAAATCACAGTTCGAAACCAGTCTGGGTAGGAATGTCTATGAGACTCTTCAATTAACTTCCAAGAAGTGGGAAAGTGGAGCTGTGGCTCAAATGGTAGAGCACCAACCTTGAGCAAAAAAAGCTCAAGGACAGCACGCAGACCATGAGTTCAAGCTCCAGTACCAGCACAGTACTTGGCACTGGGGCTATGATGGAGATGAAATTTCCCTTTTTCTTTAAGAGTTAGTTTCTGTTCAGCCCGAACCTGCATCACATAGCAGAACACAGAAAGCCCCTGCCGTCCCAACTGCACATCCACGGAGCTATTTATAGTTGCCCAACTGTGTTGCACGCAGCTGATTGGAGTGTTACCTGATGAGAGCGAGGTCCCAGCGTGTCGCCGCAGAGCTGGAGATGGCAAGTTGTCCAGCGACTTTGCTCCTCAAAAGGCAATGTGCAAGAGGAATTTCTTATCCCTGAAGAATCAGGCCCTGTGACTCAGAACGGGAATCGTTTATGACCCATTAGTCATATGAGTGTTTCCAAAGTATCTGCTCCCGTTTACATGAACCTTGGGTGCTAGAGGCCAGCCTGTGCAGATTGCTGACCGATCTCCTGTGGGGAAGCCTGCTGCGTCTCCTGAAGGTTGCACAGGGACTGGGAGGAGAGGAGTT